ATCCGCAGACAGACGGCCAAACAGAGCGTGTAACGGGGTAAGAGATACCGTCACTAGCTTACACTATAGTGTGGAGGAAGCTCGCAATAGTAAAACCAAGGCTTAGGTTTCTTTCAAATTCAACTCTGATTTATTTAGGACCAGGGCGGCTACCCCTGGCCTCGTGTAAACCACTCAAACACATGTCTATACCTGATTGGTCAATAAGTGAGTCTGGCTCCTCACTATCAACCAATCCGATCATGACACCTTGGCACACGCTACTCGTGTGCCACACTTTACCTACTTATGTAATAACTAAAGACATATCTACCTACTCATGTAATTGGAGTTGGGACCATTACAATAGCCTCCTTTCTAAGTTGCGCTTACGCAACATAAGCGCACGGAACACATTTGAAGAAAACTCGAAAAACCGACAAAGACGGAGACATCGGAGACAGCGCGAAGGGCGGCGGCGCCAGCGAGTCGCTGGCGGTGGTAACAAGGGCAAGTCCAGGGTCGACAGGTGCGGCACGAGCTCTGAATATGCTGCGAGGACCGTCACTGCGCCTCTCGGCTCCCAGGACACACATCGACGACGTGCCCCGCGTACATGCGATCCGAGCTGGAGGCATTTGGATCACGGACACGAGGAACCTCACGAAGCCGACTTCGTGGCGCAGGGGTCAATGCATGGGGCTTTCACTCACGCACACGCGAGTGTTGTTTTGCTGCAAGAGCGGAACAGCTTCGAACATCTCGAAGACATGAGACTTGTCGACGGAAGTCAACCACTTGAGCAACCCAAGTGAGCACCACGTTGTCACCACTGGTGTCACCAGAATCAGGTACTTGTTAGCCACCGTGTCGCCGCTGGTAATCGAAGTCATTTCGGCGCAGTTGTAGCGTGTCGGGTTGACAACCCACTGGTCACCGGTTCGGTGTCGCCGGTGGTTTCTTGTTTTCATTCTTGCACTGACAAGTTGTGTCAGTGTTCGCCGCGGCTAACACCGACGTTGCACGCGTCGGAGCGCGACATCGTTGTCGCCTCCTCGTGCGGGTCGTTCTCGTGGCCGTTCTCGATCTCGTTCACGGTTTCCGCGGGATGACCCGCGGAATTCTTCTTCTCAAGCAGCATGGTCTCATACTCGTGGACCACGTCCGGAACGTCGCGGAGAAGGTTGGCGCGGGGCTCCCACGTATCATGCTTCGGAGAACAACCGAGCCAACGTACCAGATAGCGGCGCGCGGTAGGGACCGCGCAAAGAGTATGACTACGGATG